GGAGGCCTCTTGGGCGATCTTTGGGCGATCTTTGGGGGCTCTTGGGCCGTCGGAAGGCCGAAACGAAGCAAATGGCAAAATCCTTCAAGATCCAACGAACAAAATTGGTACTTCTTGCCTTTTCTGGCATGCCAAAAACCTTTCGGGCCCAGCACCTCGAACCTTCTCCTCCTCCTCCTCCTCCTCCTCCTCCTCCTCCTCTTCGTCGATCTCCTCCTCTCCCCCTCCTCCTCCTCCTCCTCCTTCTCCTTCTCCTCCTCCTCCTCCTCCTCTTCCTCCTCCTCCTCCTCCTCTTCCTCCGACGAAGAGGAGGAGGAGGAGGACCTCGAACCTCAGAGGCGAACCTCCCCTTCCCTCATAAGGCCGAGGCCTTACTGCTAGAGGCGGACGGCGTCGGGCCCACGTCGGCGGGGTCCTGCGGCCACGACGCCTGCAGCGGCCACGCGAAGCCCAGCGCGACGGTGCGGCCGGTGCGCTTCTCGGAGACCTGGTGGGATGTTGAGCAATGGTGATTACATTCATACATGTGTAGGTATACAGATCTAGATTCGTGTATCTTACCATATCTATATACATACATCTGCTATCTGTACACGTGTACATATACTAGAAACAACCGCGCGCTCGCTTTGCGCGCACTCAAGTTCTAGAGACGTTCAAACTAATGTTTGCCGCGATAAGCCAGTCCCCTTCGTTCACAGATTGTTGATCATCCTCTCATTATTCCTCCCCCTTTCCTTCATTTGCCTTCAATCATCCTCCACCTCATCATTCGCCTCATGCTTCGCATATGTTATTCCTGCCTCATCTTCATCTGCTGATCCTGTCACTTTGTGAAATTTCGCTTGTTAATGCGATCCCTGCCCCAAAGCGTCCCAGGATGCCCCCCAACAAAATGCGAAGGGGCCCAAAGACTCCAATCGGGCGAACGTGTGCCCAGGCCACGTCCACGTGGGCAGAAAAGCGGCCCAAGGGAGAGAGAAAGAGAGAGAGCGAGAGACAGACAGACAGACAGACAGACAGACAGACAGACAGACAGACAGACAGACAGGCAGGCAGACAGACAGACAGACAGAGAGAGAGAGAGAAAACAAATTATCCTGGCGAAGGACCCAGCCATATGCAGCTGTGAGTACCGTCGTTTCGGGTATCGCCGTCGGGGGATCTCCTCGCGGGGCCATGAAACGTGCGGAGGGCGTGCCGATGTGGGGCGGGGCTGGCACGTGGGCGCTGCCACTGGTGCTCTAGGCGGAACGCACTACCTGGCCATCGCTCGGACGCCCATTCCCTGTGTTTTTGTTCGGTGTTGTGTGTGTGTGGTTTTTCCGGCCGAATGATCAAGGATGCTCCTCGATGGTCCTCCCCGAAGGAAACATACACACGTCCGAGCGATGCCAGGCTACGGGGCCGCGAAACGTGTGAGGGGTGCGCCGCAGTGGGGCGGGGCATCCATTGGGGCCTTCGTTGGAGTTCCCCATAGGGCCACAAAACGCTGTACTGGGTGGGGGAAACGCGTGCGAATTCCGCCACTGGGACCTCCAATGGAGCTCCTTACGGGGCCGCGAAACACCGCACTCGACACAAGAACCGCATGCGAGTTCCGCCCCTGGGACCTTCGGTGCAGCTCCCTATGGGGCCAGGGAACGCTGCACTGGGCGCGGGAACCCATGCGGGCTCCGCCACTCGGACCTTGGGTGCACCTCCCTATGGGGCCACGAGACGCTGTACTGGGTGGGGGTGTCGCATGCGGGCGGTGCCACTTGGGGCCACGAACAACCGCACTGGGCGCAGGAACCGCATGCGAACGCCGCCACTGGGATCTTCGGTGGAACTCCCTATGGGGCCACGAACCACCGCACTGGGCGCAGGAACAGCATGCGAGTGCCGCCTCTGGGACCTTCGGTGGAACTCCCTATGGGGCCACGAAGCGCAGTACTGGGTCGGGCTGTCGCATGCGGGCGGTGCCACTTGGGGCCACGAACAATCGCACTGGGCGCGAAAACCGCATGCGAACGCCGCCACTGGGATCTTCGGTGGAACTCCCTATGGGGCCACGAACCACCGCACTGGGCGCAGGAACAGCATGCGAGTGCCGCCACTGGGACCTTCGGTGGGGCCACGAAACGGTGCACTGGGCGCAGGAACCGCATGCGAGTTCCGCCACTGGGACCTTCGGTGGAGCTCCGTATAGTGCCTCGACTCGCTGCACTGGGCGCAAGAATCGGATGCGGACTGCGCCACTGGGACCTTCGGTGGAGTTCCCTATGGGGCCACGAAACGCTGTGCTGCGCACAGGAACCGCGTACGGATTGCGCCACTTGGACCTTCGGTGGAGCTCCCCATGGGGCCACGACACACCGCAATGGGCGCAAGAAGCGCATGCGCACTGCGCCACAGAGACCTTCGGTAGACCTCCCTATGGAGCCACGAAAAATAAAAACGAAAAAAAAAAAAAATAATTAAAAAAAAAAAAAAAAAAAAAAAAAAAAAAAAAAAAAAAAGAGTAAGAAAATATGAAAAAGAAAAAAAAAAAAAAAAAAAAAAAAAATAAACCAACAAACAAAGAAAACCAAAAAAAAAACCAAAGACGAACACAACCAAATGAAAAAAAAAAAAAACCAAAAAAAAAAAAAAAAAAAAAAAACAGAGAAAAAAAAAAAAAAAAACAAAACAAAAACATCTAAAACACAAGCGCTGCATTGGGCGCAGCAACCGCGTGCGGACTGCGCCACTGGGACCTTCGTTGGAGCTCCGTATGGGGCCACGACTCGCTGCCCAAAGCGCAAGAAACGCATGCGCACTGCGCCACTAGGAACTTCGGTGGAGCTCCGTATGGTGCCACGACTCGCTGTACTGGGCGCAACAACCGCGTACGGACTGCGCCAATCGGACCTTAGGAGGGGCTCCCCATGGGGCCACGAATCACTGCGCTGTGCGCAGGAACCGCATGCGTACTGCGCCACTGGGGCCTTTGGTGGAGCTCCCTATGAGACCACGAAACGATGCACTGGGCGAAGGAGCCGCAAGCGGACTGCGCCACTGGGACCTTCGGTGGAACTCCCCAAAAGGGCCACGAAACGTGCGAGGGGTGTGCCAAAGTGAGGGGGGTGACGGGAGGAAGGAGGGGGGGAGGGGGGAGGAGGGAGGAGTAAGGAGGGAACGTGGACCCATGACGATGATGACGACGATGTTGATGATGAGAACATGATGATGGGATGATGGAAGTGATGATGGGACGATGGGATGATGGTTGGTAGGAGGAGGTGGGAGGAAGAGAGGAGGATAGGAGTGGAGGTGGGACGCAGGTTGTTGTCTCTTCAAGGCGAGGACCCATCACCACAGGATGGTTGGAATCACGCATTTTTGTGTCATGCAGTGAGCGCGCGCGAGCTGCGCGACGCTCGTGTCCTAATCCTCCTACCGTGCCTCGGCTTCGCTCGAGAGGCAGCTCCCTGCCCGCGCACAGCCCCATGAAAGGGGGACGATGACGCGCGACGCAGCCCCCCAACATCGAACAACCACACACAAGCAACGAACACGACAGTGAGGACGACGACGACGACGACGACGACGACGACGACGACGACGACGACGACGACGGACGACGAACCACGAACGGCGACCTAGTCGACACGTACAAGCGAGCGACAAGCAACACGACTACGGATTACGAGCGACGAACGTTCAACGATGTCGCATATGCGAGCACATCGCTCGGTGGCCATCTCGCGGGGGGAGTCTGCATGAGAAGAAATTCGATGGCCTCGGGAAACCTCAGGCCGCGTCGGTCATGCGTCGAACGCGCGTCGCGCCAGGCGCGGTGGCACAACATCGCAACTTCGGCGACGAAGCTGCTGGCGCTCGAATCGGCACGCGGCGCCAGCCAACTTCCTTGCTTGCCTGGATGGCGATCGCGCGCGCGGGCGGAGGCTCCCGCGCCGCGTGGTGGGCCTAATCCGGGAATTAGACGCCCGAGTTATCCGGGGTAACTCGGGTCCGGGGTAACTCGGGCTTGGGTTCCCGAAGAACGAACCCGAGTTAGCCCTGACCCGAGTTACCCCTGATGATTCAGGGCTCTGGACGCCCGAAATATCCGGGGTAGCTCGGGTCCGGGATAACTCGGGTTCGGACTCCCGAAAAACGAACCCGAGTCAGCCCTGACCCGAGTTACCCCTGATGACTCGGGGCTCTGAGGGAACGCAATGCGTTGCCCCGCGGTCGGCGCGCGGCGCCGATCCGACTCCGCGTGGCGTCGGCAGCGTGGCTCGGCGAACGCCGCTCGCGCGGCGGTCGGCGCGTAATTAGCGCCGAGCGGTGATGGCGCCTCGCTGCGCGGCGGGCACCCCTGCGGGGCGCGTCGCGGGGGCGTCGAACATGCACGCTCGTCGCTCCGCGATGTTCGCGGAGGGGATGGGGGGGGGAGATCGTGGGGAGGGGGGAGCTCCACGGCTCTGCAGTCGGCTGTGCCTCCTGTGCGGGACGCGCTATGCTGGCTATGCCGAGCCTGGCTTCACCTTCAGCCTTGAGAGTGCTGATGGGCCTGTTTTCCACCACCACCACCATAAGTTAGATGGAGGAGGAGGAAGAGGAGGAGGAGGAGGAGGAGGAGGAGGTGGAGGAGGAGGAGGAGGAGGAGGAGGAGGACCCCCTCCCCCTCCAACTTATGGTGGTGGTGGTGGAAAACAGGCCCATCAAGTGCGGCGCGAGGTGTGCGTATCATGTGAGTGACCAGGTCTGCGCCTGCGAGTCTTGCATCTGTTTATGGTGTGTGTCTGTGTGTGTGAGTGTGTGGCCGGCGGCGGGGGCTCCCTGAGCTCCGAGAGCGCCCCCGAGAGCCCCGACTCCCCTCGGTACAACCCTCGGCGGTGCTGGGCCGACGCCGAGGACGCGGCCGAGGAGTTGGGTGAGGCAGCCGCGAGGGCGGCTGAGCCCTCGGCCAAGCCACCGACCCTCGATAACGCTGACCGTGGGGTAGCGGCGGCGCCCAGCGCCTGGCGCAGGTCTCACCGCAAGGCGAGCCCGTGGCGCCCGTTGCCGACGACGAGTGCGGCACTGGCCCTCGGCAACCTCCCGAGGACGTGGGCCCCTTGGTCGAGGACGGGTTGGCCGCTTGTCTGGAGGCGCGGCCGCTGGACGCAGAGGACCCGCCGGGCGCCTCCGCCGACGGCATCTTCGACATTGAGCGCGAGTGCGCCGCGCTGGAGTCAGCCTCGCTTGCCGCTTGCCCTCCCCCTTGGGCGCGGCCCCGCGGTGGTCGAGGAAGTGACGAGGGTGGAGGCTGCTGCCCAAGGCGCGCTGGTCGCCCCCCTCCCCCGGGGCGCTCCCGGCGGAGGTCGAGCGAGGTACAGGTCTCGGAGATAGCGAGGGCGCGGCGATGCCTTCGCGAATGGAGCGGCTGGACCCCGGCCTCCACGGCGCCCAGGGCCAGCGCCAGAGGCAAGGGCCAGGAGCATCGCTGGCTGCGAACGCTGGGTCCCCAGGTGGCGGCCGCGGCGGCGGCGCTGCTGGGGCGCTTTTCGCTGACGGCAACGGCGGTGGCCCCCCTCACTCCTGGGCGCGGCCCAGTTGAGGTCGGAGACGCGGCAGCGGCGCTGGCCCTGGGCGCGCAGCCCGCCCACCTCCCCCCCGCGACGCCCCCGGCTGAGGCCGAAGGGGGGGGCGGCGCCAGCCCCCCTGCCTCCCGGGGCGCCCCCTGCGGAGGTAGTGGCGCCCGGCCGCGGAGTGGAGGTCGCGCGGCTCCTGCTGCGGAGGTGGAGCGACTGGGACCCAAGGCCACCGGCTCCGGTTGCGGAGCCGTGACCACCGGCTGGGGTCAGCAACGGCCGCGCAGCTGGAGGTTATACCCTCCCTCCCGCGACGCCGCCGGTGGAGGTTGAGGTGACGGCTGCCGCGGGAGACGGCGGCTGGAGGCTGCCCTCCCTCCTGGGCCAGGCCCGGGGGCGCGTGTGACGTGGGTGGGAAGAAACCACAGCCCCACCACGGTCAGCTCCCACTCCTCGATTTTTATGCGCGTTGGCCAGGCAACGAGCTTCTCAGGCCGCACACAGCCCCCAGCGCGGGGCTGGGGCGGCGGACAGCCAGGGCAGGAGGCGCAGCGGCGCCGCCGCGAAGTGAGGAAGGGTGTAGACGGGCGGGACAAGCGGCCCCGCTCTCGACCAGAAGGCCGGCGACGGACGTGCTGCTGGACGCACGTGCGCGCGCAGGGAAGCGAAGAGGGGAGGGTGAGAGTCTCACTTCGCTGAAACCTCGCGAGCCAAAATGTTTGGCAACGTTCGGCCTCGGGCCCCCACGGAGGACGAGTCGGCATTAAAAAGCAGGGCGATGGGGTCGGGACATCTCGGGACCGCGCATATCAAGAGCTAGAAACAAGAACGCATCGGATGGCTGCGACGGCGGCGCTCCATCGCCCCCCTCGGGCCGCATGGAGGCTTTCTGTCGTCACGGCTGGATCCGCCTCGAAAAGCGGGCCATAATGGACCCGCAGAGGGGTCTGGGGGCAGATTTTCAGCGGACGTGGGCCACGCGGACACACTTCTGGCGGCAAGATGCTTTCACGACGTGGACTCCCCGAGGTCTGGACCCCTCTCGCGGAGGCTCGTGTTTCGCCTTGAAGCGCTAGCTGACGGCACCCGAAACTCCTCAAAAGGCCCCCCCCAAACAAAAAACAGGAACGGCCAAACGCCTCCCGTCGTGTCTCCTGGCGCGAGGTGTGCCAGGGCCCGGGGGGCAAACGCTGGTCCTCGGGCATGTTTTTTGGCAAAACAGTCGAAGCGGACCCGGAGGAGGTGACGGGGAGCCCCCTTGGTGGCCCCAGGCGGGCGGGCCCAGGTCGAAGCTCGAGCCCTGGAGCCTCTGAGCCTCGAGCCGTCGGCGCCTGCCTCGCGAACGAAACTGCAAAAAAACCTCCCGCCGTGTTTGCGTCGATATCGCGAGGAGGTCGGATAACTGTTCCTTCTGTGACAGCTCATGAGAGCATCTCGG